TTATACTCTCATATCTATGCCTGGCCTTGGCAGCAAAGAACATGGGTATATGATGAATCGGGTCTGCGGACCAATACAACTGCAATTCATTCCTTTTAGTAATGCCCATGTTGAGGGTTAGGCCCCGAAAAAATGTAAATTCGAAAACCATAATGAGTTTCCAATGCGACTAGTCTGGCAACGTTTGCATTTGGGTTGGCGGCAATAAATTGTTGTGCATATAAATTGCTTTGACCCACAATCAACGCAAACAGCTCCAAAAATCAAGGGAAGGAATTAAAATTGCTATTTCCACCTGAATTCCGGGTTAGGCAGTGAATGGGGGAAGTACGGGTGCTGCAGAATTTGTGGGCTGTCAATCGGGATTTTCAAGCACATCCGGAAGGGTATTAGGAGCTCTATGGGCTTGTGTGCAAATTCTTAGTGGCTGCGGGACAATATTTGTGCTCGCCACCGCACCGGCTTCTACTGGACTTATGGGACTCGCCACGTCACCAAGTCATACTGCAGTGCTGGTATTATTATTATTATTATTATTATAATACAGGATTTATATAGCGCCAACAGTTTGCTCAGTGCTTTACAATATAACGGGAGACAATACAGAACAATACAGTTCAATACAAGAGGGTTAGGAGGGCCCTGATCCTGGGAGCTTGCAATCTAAGAGATATGTGAAAGACCAATATGTGCTAGACCTCTGGTGCTCGCCAGTTCACCAAAAGGTAGTGTGGCACTAGTACTGGCACTCTGCTGCGTATGAGAGTCATCAAAATTTACCGGCAAGTGCTAACAGAGATCAGGCCTGATTCTGCGAACACTGCGGTTTTGTGTGCAATGTATCAATTGACAGGGACCTACTGACACTGCACTTGCTGGGGGGAGGGGGGGGGGAGAGAAGTGTAGGTAGGGGCTAAATGCAGGTGCTGGCAGGTGCCGGGGCTGATCCTGCTAACGCTACATTTTTGGGGATGCTATACTAATGTGAATGCTGGTATAGTTAAGCTGGTAAAGACACTATACTAGCAATGCAGGTTAATTGTGCATGAGCATCTTCCTGTCAGTAAAGGGGTTAAATATGATGACTGGTGTACTGATGGGCAATCTGACGCCATCTGGGAGGGGTGTGAAAACCACGGGAGAGCAAATCACTCATATATGTGATTTTGCGCACCTGTGCCGCCCTGTAGCAGTATTTCTGCTATAGGGCAGTCAGGAAGCAGTTACAGAAGCGGGTTGTGTTACGGCGCTGCATTATTTTAACTGACAAATGTGCGGTCATGCAACACTACACCCAAATTAAATTTACGTCCTTTTTTTCCCACAAATTGAGCTTTCTTTTGGTGGTATTTGATCACCTGTGTGGTTTTTATTTTTGCGCTATAAAAAAAAAAGGCTGACAATTTTGAGAAAAAAAAACTTTTTGCTATAAAACATGTCCAGTAAAAAAATTTAAAAAAAATCAAATTTCGTCAAATTTCGTCATAAATTTCAGCCAAAATGTATTCTGCGACATGTCTGTGCTGAAAAAAATCCCTATACGTGTAAAGTTTTAGGAAATCAAAGGGTTAACTGTGTGACGGGAGTGTTTTTCTAGTGGGCAGGGGGTGTGTACTTCACAGGAACACACTGATCCCGAGAGCTAAACTCCGCTCTCAGGAACAGTGTGTTATGAACTGACAGGGAGCAGAGCTGCGTTGAAAACAATGCAGCTGTGCTCTGTGTCATTGTTTGCCGGCAAACAACCGCGGCCACAATCAGCGGCATGGGTAGGGCGGTCGTGCACCTCGAGCGTGCCCCCTACCTGTTTTGCAAAATGATGTTTTAAAATGTGATTTTGCACAGCGGTGCCGCCCTGTCGCCGTTTTTATACAGTGGCTGGTCAGCAAGTTGTTAATATTGTCAATGTTTACATATTGCTTATACTGTTTAAAGGCTACATTTTCCATTAGGAATGTATTATATGTCCTCTGACTTGTTGACCCCCTGTACACCTGACATTTTTTACTGCACCCCCCAAATCAAACTGGCTAGATTCACCCCCGGTTGTAATAACAGATAGGAGGTGACCTGTGTTTTATAAAGCAAACCATTTTCAGGCATGTTTAAGGCTTCATAAATAAATGTACTAGTTATAGTGGCTGTTGAACTGTAAATATAGTTTTAATTTGTGCCAGTATGCAGTTTTTCTTTGTTTCAAGTGATCAATCAGTATGTTATGAAATAACTGCCATAATCCCTTTTTTAAATAAATGTCATCAAGTTCTCTAATGTTTGTAGATAATTGTCCCACTAAACTGAAAACAACAATGCTAATTAGTTGTAGTCAATGATTTCTGCTCCACATTGTAAAACAATATGCTACTTTTTAATTAAACCAAAGTAATTGTATAACAGTCTAATACAGTTATGGTATTAGCAGAAATATTTGAATATACAGTATAATGGAAACTAACAATGTATTTAAAAAAACAAAGATTTGCAAATATCACAAAAGGAATAAAGCATTCTACTTCAGATCATTATGGTGAATATTCATAATATCAAAATGCTTTTTTTTGAGAGTATATAACACATAAAATAATATAATAATAATATTCTTATGTAGAGGTGATACAACTGCTGAAATATATTTGATAAGATCATTGTAGATAATTATTGTGATTTTTTTCTAGGTTTTATCTTGCATGGTGATTATGCTGATTTGTAATTTACGTTTCTTGATCAGTCTAAAAATTGCTGTAAAAATGTTGCAAGTGATTACATTTTTAATGCACTGCTCAAAAAAATTAAAGGAACACTTTTTAATCAGAGTATAGCATCAAGTCAATTAAACTCCTGGGATATTGATCTGGTCAGTTAACTAGCAGAAGGGATTGTTGATCAGTTTCAGCTGCTTTGGTGTTAATGAAATTAACAACAAATGCACTAGATGGGCAACAATGAGACAACCCCCCAAACAGAAATAGTTTTACAGGTGGAGGCCACTGTCATTTTTTCCCTACTCATCTTTTCTGACTGTTTTTCACTAGTTTGCATTTGGCTAGGGTCAGTGTCACTACTGATATCATGAGGCGATACTTGGACCCTACAGAGGTTGCATAGGCAGTCCAACTCCTCCAGCATGGCACATCAATACATGCCATTGCCAGAAGGTTTGCTGTGTCTCCCAGCACAGTCTCAAGAGGAGATTCCAGGAGACAGGCAGTTACTCTAGAAGAGCCGTACAGGGCCATGGAAGGTTCCTAACCTATCATCAGGACCGATATCTGCTTCTTTGTGCAAGGAGGAACAGGATGAGCACTTCCAGAACCCTACAAAATTACCTCCAGCAGGCTACTGGTGTGAATGTATCTGGCCAAAAAATCATAAATAGACTTCATGAGGGCGGCCTGAGGGCCCGAAGTCCTATAGTGGGTCCTGTGCTCACTGCCCAGCACCATAGAGCTCAATTGGAATTTGCCATTGAACACCAGAGTTGTCAGGTCCACCACTGGCACCCTGTGCTTTTCACAGATGAGAGCAGGTTCACCCTGAGCACATGTGAGAGATGTGAAAAGGTATGGAGAAGCCATGGAGAACATCATGCTGCCTGCAACATCATTCAGCATGACCATTTTGACCAGTGGATCAGTGGCACATGGGGGCCATACAAACTACTGAATACCATTCTGAGTTGCTGCAATAATTAATAATATTTTTTATAATAATATTATAATAATTTCAGCAAAATGGACTAGTCTGCTGCATCATTTTTTCACTTTGATTTTCGGTGTGTCTTTGAATCCAGTCCTCTGTAGGTGGATAATTTTAATTTCCATAAACAATGGGGCATCCTTGCATTCCTAACACATTACCCAGTCCATATCAGTATAGATATCCAGCATGATATTTTTCCCCATTGAGTGATGTGTTTTCGAAGTGTCCCTTTAATTTTTTTGAGCAGTGTATATGACACCACCATTTAATGCAGTTAAGTATTTCTTAAAAAATAATTAAGGGACAACATCACTTTAAGGAGTAAATTTACTGAAACTGGAGCACTCAGAGTGTGGTGCAATTGTGCATGGTAGCCAATCGGCTTCAACTGATCCAACTCCAATTAAGCTTTGACAATAAAACTGATTCGTTTCTAAGCAGAGCTGCACCAGATTTTGCATGCTCCTATTGTAGTAAATCTGCCTCTTAATCTTTTAGTGAAGTTGCCCTTTAAATCACAAAACAGTCCTGACTGTGTCCAACTCCTATTGTGCATGAAAGGCTTCACTACATATTTACTACCATATTTTTCGCTCCATAAGATGCACTTTTTTCCTCCAAAAAAGGGGGGGGGGGGGGGAAATGTCAGTGGGTCTTATGGAGCGAATGTAAAGCAGTCGATCTGGTATTTCTGCCGCCACCATGTCAGAATATCGGGCTGGCCGCTCAGCTCTTCTCTCCTGCAGGACCTTACCTGTTCCTCGCTCCAGCGCTGCAGTCTTCCTGCGGCGGCTTCTGTGACAGCCGGGTGCCCACTGCACATGCGCGAGAAGCGTTGCGCTTTGTGAATGGTCCGGTGTCTTCTGGGATACATGACAGGTCCCAGAGGTCTCCCAGAAGGCACAAAGCGCAGTGCTTCTCACGCATGCGCAGTGGGCACCTGGCTGTCACAGAAGCCGCCGCGGGAAGAAGAAGGAAGGACAACTCCGTGGAAGTAGGAGCGGGTACCTGTCAAATTCAGATACCCGTTCCCCCTCCCTCCCCAAAGGTCCGCAGTCTCTGGTAATCTCCTTTACTGTCTGCAGTCTCTGGTCATCCCCTGTACTGTCTGCAGTCTCTGGTCATTCCCTGTATTGTTTCCGCAGTCTCTGGTCATTCCCTGTACTGTGTCCGCAGTCTCTGGTCATTCCCTGTACTGTGTCTGCAGTCTCTGGTCATTCCCTGTACTGTGTCCGCAGTCTCTGGTCATTCCCTGTACTGTGTCCGCAGTCTCTGGTCATTCCTTGTACTGTGTCCGCAGTCTCTGGTCATCTCCTGTACTGTGTCCGCAGTCTCTGGTCATCTCCTGTACTGTGTCCGCAGTCTCTGGTCATCTCCTGTACTGTGTCCGCAGTCTCTGGTCATCTCCTGTACTGTGTCCGCAGTCTCTGGTCATCTCCTGTACTGTGTCTGCAGTCTCTGGTCATCTCCTGTACTGTGTCCGCAGTCTCTGGCCATCCCCTGTACTGTGTCCGCAGTCTCTGGTCATCCCCTGTACTGTGTCCGCAGTCTCTGGTCATCCCCTGTACTGTGTCCGCAGTCTCTGGTCATCTCCTGTACTGTGTCCGCAGTCTCTGGTCATCTCCTGTACTGTGTCCGCAGTCTCTGGTCATCCCCTGGTGTACTGTGTCCACAGTCTCTGGTCATCCCCTGTACTGTGCCCGCAGTCTCTGGTCATTCCCTGTACTGTGTCCACAGTCTCTGGTCATCTCCTGTACTATGTCTGCAGTCTCTGGTCATCTCCTGTAGTACATCCACAGTCTCTGGTCATCTCCTGTACTGTGTCTGCAGTCCATTGGTTCAGAATATTTTTTTTGTTTTTCTCCTCTAAAACTTAGGCGCGTCTTATGGTCAGGTGTTGTCTTATGGAGCGAAAAATATGATACTTTGGTTGGGGCTGTACTCATGGTGGCTGCAGCCATCCAGAGGAGTTCAGCACCATCCAAAGGAACAAATGGAGTTACAGTAGTATCTAATTTTACATACAGTTGGCATAAAGCTCTGATTCTGTCTTGATGTCAGATACTTGCACAGCAGTGTTCAGACAACACCAGGCACTAATGAAGATCTGCTGCTTATGCTGACAGGGAACTTATTGACAGGAGAAGATTGGTGGGTTTTTTTTATCTGTTATTGGCCAGAATGTTTGCATATTGGGAGGTGACACAACTGCATTTCTTTAAATGTATTTCAGGGAAAAAAAAACATGCAGAACATCTCTGCAACACATGCAAATTTTATCCCCTTAAATACTATGCAAGTACAGAAAAATACCTGTTTATCTACCACAACACACAGCATTTGGGTGAAGTGAGAGTTGTCAGCCTTGCCCTATTTTCTTTGCTAAAGTCCTTAAACTCTCCCCATACTCTCATTTCCACAATATACTGTAGACTAAATATTTTGTAGTCTCAAAAAAAAAAAACTACAAGGGCTAATTATTCTCCTTACGATAACACAGGAAGTGTTCACTGAACAGGACTGCTCCGAATGTCTAAAATAATCAACAGTTTTTCATTTAATTAATCAGATATAATAAAACACTTTCAATGGTATATAAAACAGACCAACTTGGAGAAGCAAGAGTTCATTGTTAGAGTTTATATACATGAAAAACCAAACAATAAAAAAGTCTTTTGATGACAAAATCCCAATTATGATGAACAGCTGTGTCCACAATGATTCTCCACGTGTGTATTGAAATGGAGACTCTCATGCCCACCACCACAAAAAACACACTGCTCCTTACCAAATAGTTATACCCCACATTATAGGTGGTCTAACAGAGCATATTGCTAAACATACACTATATTGCCAAAAGTATTAGGAAACCTGCCTTTACACGCACGTGAACTTTAATGGCATCCCAGTCTTAGTTTGTAGGGTTCATTATTGAGTTGCCCACCCTTTGCAGCTATAACAGCTTCAACTCTTCTGGAAAAGCTGTCCACAAGGTTTAGGAGTGTGTCTATGGGAATGTTTGACTATTCTTCCAAAAGAGCATTTGTGAGGTCAGACAAGAAGGCCTAGCTCGTAGTCTCCACTCGAATGCATCCCAAAGGTGTTCTGTCAGGTTGAGGTCAGTCAAGTTCCTCCAACCCAAACTCGCTCATCCATGTCTTTATGGACCTAGCTTTGTGCACTGGTGCGCAGTCATGTTGAAACAAGAAGGGCATTTGCGCAGTATTGTTAGAACAAATTGTTCCCACAAAGTTCGGAGCCTAAAATTCTCCAAAATGTCTTGGTATGCTGATGCCTTAAGAGTTCCCTTCAGTGGAACTAAGGGGCCAAGTCCAACCCCTGAAAAACAACCCCACACAATAATCTCCCCTTCACCAAACTTTACACTTGGCACAATGCAGTCAGGAAAGTATAGTTCTCCTGGCAACAGTCCACCCTAGACACATCTATTGGATTGCCAGACAGAGAAGCATGATTTATCACTTCAGAGAACACGTCTGATCTAGAGTCCAGTGCTGGCGTACTTTACACCACTGCGTCCGGCGCATTGCATTGCACTTGGTGATGTAAATCTTGGATGTAGCTTGTTAACAATAACTGGATATCATGTAATGAGTATTTGTATTGGTATTTTTTTGAGTGCAGCTATTGTTTCACTGTTTGTTTTATGATTCACAATTTGTTTAGATTTTTTTGGCACTCGCAGTTACATAATTTTCACATTAATGTTTATATACACTTTAACGCAACTTTCCTGTTTGTGCTAACTGACACACATGAATCACAGAAGTTGACATCCACAATAAAAAATCCTATGGCAGATAAGACAATTTACATGTGTACTTTGCTGTATAGTTAGCTGCTTGCCTGGAGTTCAGCTTTAACCTGTTCCCGCCAGCTGTACACATATATGTGGCCATTTGGTGAGTGAGCTTTAGCACCCAGAGGTTGCATATATGCGTCCCAAATACCAGTATATACAATTCTGTGTTGAGAGGGCACGCCATGCGCACTCCCAGCATATTTACTGGTGTGCACCAGAAAGCTCCCAATGCCTACTTGTGATTGGGAGCTTTCCAATCATGTGACCACTGTGACTGCCACACATGACCAGAATGCCCACATCCACCTTCCAGCATTTACAACTCTTAAATGGAAGGGGTTAAAGGTCACAAAGCATGCATGGTATAAACAATATTAGCAAGATATTAAGGTACTATCTGACTACCTGCCAGCTAGGTTTTTGTTTTTGAAAGTTTTGAATTATTTACCATTGCTTATTTATGATATTAAATCATAGGCTGGACATATACATGGAAAAATAAGCTCAAAAGATGAATGATTTTGGAGCAATTCTTAAAAAATCTGAAAGTGTGCTGATTCAAACCGTCATAAATAATAACACAGAGGACTGTCAGACACAATTATTTGTGCTTAGTTATAATTTTTTACTACCTTTTTTGTGCAAATGGTTTACTAGCATTGTAAATCTTATGGGATATGTGGCAAATAGTGTATGTGCATGTTAAAAACAATCAGAATCTTTTGTGTGAATATCAATAGATAACAACTGGCCTTCTCTTCAGAGGCAGATTGCATTTCTAAAGCCCAACTCTGGACTTAGCTCAATGCCATCATGTACATTTTTTTTTCAAACTTAACTTTTTCAGAATTTTTTATGGCATTTATGTGAACTGCGGGGTTTTCTTCCAATCTTCCAATCACAGCAGCCCTGAGTGATGCAGTATATAATGATTTTTCTGTGCCTCATTATACTGTAAATGCAGAGCATCATAATGATGTCCCTCCTCCAGGCCTATGACTCCCTGTATTAATAGCATTTCCCCAGTCTTCTGGTGAGTATTACTGAAGTGCACCAACACAAATAATGTTCATTACCACTATGGGGGGTAGACTTACTAAAACTGGAGCACTCAGAATCTGGTTCAGTTCTGCATGGTAGACACTCAGCTTCTAATGTCAGCTTGTTTCATTTCTATGCAGAGTTGCCCCAGATTTTGCATGCTCCCTATCTTTGCATTTTGCAGGTGTATGTTGTGTGTGTGTGTCATTTCTGGTTTAGATTTAACAAAATAAATGGGTTGAATTCAGAATAAATAGACATTTTTTAGCTTGTATTTTAAGTACAATAACATCATGATATATATTAATAATAGTTTCTGCTGAGAGGATTGCAACTTCAGGTATGCTAATAATCATTGTGAAGAGAGATACTGACTTTGTGGTCATTGATTTTTGTTAATTGAATATAACCATTTTACATAACAATTATACTTGTCATTACTCATTTAAAAAAATGAGCCTAAATCTAAAACATTGCTACAATAATATTTAAAGTCCTGAAACTATACATTTTATCTTGCAAATATTTTTTCAAACAAATATAAGTAATAAGAATTTATTTGATAATGATGATGAATGAAAAGGTACTAGTCTTCCACAAGAATGTTCTTTTAAAGTCATTGCATGCCACCGCAATAATTGCCACCCCTGGCTGTTACCCCTAGCAACCCAGTTAGACTCTTTTAGCTGTTATGAGCTACCTATACAGATCAAGTTTTGGGTTAGTGGTGCCTTATGTCTATTTACTAAAATGTATGGATGCCTTATACATAGTCATGTTTCAGATATATCTCTTCTTTACCTAAAAAAAACCCTTGAACAAGAGAAGGTTCTATACTTAAAGTGATATTAAAAGCTGTTTATAAACCTAACAAATATCTTACACCTGTAGTTTTCCACAGAGCTGCCCCAATCCCCCTCTTCTCTGGTCCCCCACCAGTGCTTCTGGCCCCTCCCTCCTGCATTGTGTCTCCAAAGCAAACAATTTGCTATGGGGGCACCAAAGCAGTCTTGCTCCCAAGCCACTGTTCTGCATGTCCATTCACACATAGAGCTGCAGCTCTGCCCTGCTCCATCTCTCTCCTCATTGGCTCACTGGCTGTAATTGACAGCAAGGGGAGCCAATGGCTTCCACTGCTGTCTCAGCCAAAGTGGAGAGAGAGTCCCTGGAGACTCAACGCTCTTGTGCACATCGCTGGATTGCGATGGGGCTCAGGTAAGTATTAGAAGAGCTGGAGGGCTGCTGAACACAGAAGGTTTTGAAAGATAAAAAGGAAGTGATGCAGCGCTACTCCAAAGCTACAAATCACATAATATGTATATATTACATATATATGTATATACTGAGAAGTAATGGAGAAGCTTTTTGGACAGCCATCTGGACACTGACATAAAGAGATACTGGCTTACACCCTACCCGTATACCTGGAGAGGATATCACCACCAATACGCACATCCCTGATTCACTGGGGAATTTTCCTGATGCATGTCTTTTGACATGACAGGGATTAATGATTACAGATTAACCACCTGTATATGTTTTGTGCTTTATAAATATGCTCCTGAATTTAATTAAATAAATTAACTGCATTAGCTAAATCAATCACCTCTACCCCTTGCCCACCAAAAAAAAAAGTGTGAGTGGAATGGTCTTTTTTTCAGAACATTTTTATTTCAGCAGCTCAATGAGCATAACTGGGTTTTCACACTAATTTTGGTGGTAATTTCGCATTGAATCGGTTTTTCCAAAATCACTCTGCTCATCCCTAAAGGCTGACACTCACGTCATGGATGGTTTAGCATTATATGCAGTATGTGCAAGTGGGCATTCATATTTGCTCATTACATTGTAGCTTACAGGTCATTGAAATTACAGCACATTAAAATAAAATTACAGAATAGTAAGTAGAAACACTGTGAATGGCACAAAAAATACAAGTCAACTTTAGAATAATAACCAAAAATGTGTACTGAAAATACATTGTAGCCTTCCTGTAACTACTGCAT